AGGATGGTAGGGGGTTAGAAGTTGCAGAGGTAGGTGGGAGGAAGACCATGGAAGGCTTTGAAGATGAGGACCAGGATCTTAAACCGTAATCCTCTGTGTGATGGGAAGCCGGTGGAGTCGGGCGAGGATGGGGGTGGTGATAGGGTCACGGAGCGCCTGGGAGAAGGCACGGGCTGCAGAGTTCTGCGTGATCTGCGGCCTATGGAGGGAGGCGTTGGGGAGCCCGGCAAGCAAGGAGTTTGCCCTCGACGAGGAGCCGGGCAATTTTGCGGAGGTGAGAGGAAGGCAGAGCGGGTCATGGCCCAGAGGCAAGATATTAATCTTATTAAATGTCACTAATTAAAATTGAACTACAGGTAAATCATGGGTGATTAGAACAAATCTGTTTGCTTGGCATCCTGGTTGAGGTTTGTAATTAATGAGCGGTTGATAGTTCTTATGCATGCTGGTTCCTGCACACCTTTGTAAAGCACGTTTCCTGGCTCCAACATGCTTTTGTTTAGCCAGGTGCAGAGATTGACCCTGCCTTGGCCATTGGTTTCTGTTCTATAGGAGGGTAAGACTACTACTATTAATAATAATCCTTGCATTTGATATTGCACTTTACATGTCGTTGAGTCACCTCAAAGCACTTCACAGGGTATATTTTAAAGTGAATTGATTGTTTTTAGTGGTGGAAATCCAGCAGTGTCCCACAAACAGCTATGGATTAAGCAACCAATTTTTTTTTCGAAGGGTGTATCAAGGGAGGGAGGAGTTGGGGAGGTCAAGAAACGTTTTGCCAATTGACTAATAACCGGATTCCTACTGACTGCTGGATAAACAGAGGCATGTGGCGTAAGGAAACTTGTCCAAAGTGTTGCGCTGCCAGGAATTGGACCCAAGTCTCTCGCTTGCAAGTGCTTTAACCACTGAGCTACCAGATTCCACAGGAAACATAGAAACAGTAGGCTATTCATCCCCTCGAGGCTGTTTCGCCATTTAATAAGATCACTGCTGATCTGTAGCTCACGTCCAATTTACTCGCCCTTGCCCCATATCCCTTAATACCCTGACCCAACAAATATCTATCCACCTCAGTCTTGAAATTGTGAATGGATCCAGCCAGAATCCACAGGCTTGTGGGGGGAGAGAGTTCCAGTTTGCCTCCCGATTTCACTCCTAAATGGCTTAGCTCTAATTTTCAGATTACACCCACCATTAGCAATGTCACAGTTTATTGCTGAGCCAGGGAGTAACATAACAAAGTAATACGGTAACATTTTTTGAATTCCTCGCATTTGATATACAGCACCTTCAGGGTCGGCTGTGTCAGGTCTGTCACCGCATTAACCTTAAGAGAGAACAGATTGTATCAGTCTGTGCGTTCCAGCTTCTCTGGCCTCCTTATAATTTTAAACATTTTTCTTTGCTTCAGAAGCATCGAGATGGTAACATGGGCTGCGGGATGTAAGGGCAATGCCTGAGATACCTACACCCTGAGACACCAATGCGTGACCTTAGCTAGGCGTGTCCGACACAGTGAGGAAACCCAAAATTAATAATAATAATCCTTGCATTTGATACAGCGCCTGATAACGTCATTGAGGCGTCATTTCCCCTACCTACCTGCCCGTAACCTCCGTTCCTCTGGCTCCGGTCTGCTCCACATCCCCCGCCCCAACCGCCCGACCATCGGTGGTCGGGCCTTCAGCATCTCAGCCCCGAGGCTCTGGAACTCTATCCCCCAGTGCCTTCGCCGCTTCCTCCCTTTCCTCCTTCAAGGCCGGTCTCAAGACCTTTCTCTTTGACCAAGCCTTCAGCTCCCCTCTCGACTCTCTACCCCCTCCTCACTCCCTCCCTTCCCTCCCCTCACCCTGACCATTTCCCCACTGCTCGGGTCCTGACCCAACTGTACAGCGCCTTGGGACGTCCTCCCGACGTGAAAGGCGCTCAATAAATGGAATCTTGTTGTTGTTGTTGTCTCAAAGCGCTTCACAGAAGATACTGTGAAGTGCAGTGACTGTGTATTTTGTGGGCGAAATGCGGCAGCCAATTGCGTACAGCACATTAACCAAGAAGAAGATGGGAAAGGGAGAGGTGATGGATCATCCGATGGCCCTTTGAGTGAAGGCCCTGTTCAGCAGAGCCTTATGTCTGGTGTGGCCCAGTTCAAATCCTGGACTGTGCTCCTCTGGATTTCGTGATTTGCCTCAATTGAGGTTCGATGCCTCCGAAAATGTAGCTCTTCCCCTGCACTGCACTGGAGTGTCAGCGTAGAGCATGTTTTCAAGACCTAATGTGGGACTTCTACCCATGACCCTTATTATAATAATGATAATCTTTGCATTTGATACAGGGTCTTATCACATCATAGAAACAATAGCGTTTTTCCAAGAGCCAATCCATACAGTAATGGTGCGATTGGACACTGGGCAAGGAGGTGGTGACCATAGTTGCAGTCAAGGTAGGTTTTATGGTGTAATTTATAGAGAGAGAGAGAGAGAGGACAAGAGGTGGAGAGATAAGAGGCAGAATTCCACAGGTTAGGGGTGTTGTGACTCATGGGCCAAATGGGTTTCTGCGCTGTGCATTCCTATGACTTGAGGAACCAAGCCTTTCTCAAGCAGACTAAGTGGTTCGACCACCCAGCGAAGCTGCTCTGATTGCCCGGGACACACAGCACAGCCACCTGTGGAACGGAGCCACAGGTGCAGAGGTTTTAAAACCAAACGAAATTTGAAGACCAAACGGTTTCGCTGGAATTCCAGGCCTCTCAATACACGAATGCACTGCCACCTGCCGGGCATTCTGTGTTTCAATTCAAGGCTGATGTATATTGTCCTCTGTTCAGGTATGTTTAAGTCTATGATGCGTCCTGCTGTTCGCTTTCCTTCATCACTATAATTTGTAATAATAATTAGTAATAATACATCAATTATCCAATCATTTGATGTAGCATTTAAGACATGGTAATTAGGTAATCACACAAAGGTCTATAATAATAATAATCCTTGCATTTGATATAGCGCTTTTCACGTCTTCAAGAGAACATCCCAAAGCGCTGGACAGATAGAATTTTGGACCCGAGCTGGGGGATGGAGTCAGGGAGGGTGGAAGGCGCGGGGTGGTGGGGGGGGAAAGAGGGTGACCGAAGACTCAGTCGAAGAGGAGGGTCTTGAGATGGATCTTGAAGGTGGCAAGGGAGAGGGTGAGGCGGAAGGACTGCGGGATGGAGTTCCAGAGGGTGGGGGCAGAGTGGCAACAACAACCACGACAACAAAATGACATTTATAGAGCGCCTTTCACGTCGGGAGGACGTCCCAAAGCGCAGAACAGTCAGGTGTCAGGGGCCGAGCATGGGGGAGGGGTGATGTAGGGATGAGGGAAGGCAGAGAGGTGGGAGGGAGACCAAAGGCACGATCGAAGAGAAGGGTATTGAGATCGGCCTTGAAGGAGGTGAGGGAGGAAGCGATGCGAAGGGACTGTGGGATGGAGTTCCAGAGTGTGGGGGCAGAGAGGCTGAAAGTCCGGCCACCAATTGTAGGGCGGGTCGGGCGGGAGACATGGAACAGACCGGAGCCCGATGAACGGAGGGAGTGGGCAGGTTGGTAGGGAGTCAGCAGGTCAGGGAGGTAGGAGGGGGTGAGGCCATGGATGGCCTTAAAGGTGAGGACGAGGATCTTGAACTCAATCCTCTGGGGATGGGGAGCCAGTGGAGTCGGGCGAGGGTGGGAGTGATGGGGTCACGGAGCCTGGTGCGGAAGGGTATGCAGGCTGCAGAGTTCTAGATGATCTGCAGCTTATGGAGGGAGGAGTTGGGGAGGCCAATGAGCAACGAGTTTGCATAGTCGAGCCTCAATGTAATGAAAGCATGTATGAGGGTCTCGGTGGCCTGCGATGTGAGACAGTGGCGGAGCCGGGCGATGTTGCGGAAGTGGGGGAAGGCAGAACGGGTAATGGTGCAGATGTGAGGTAGAAAGGATAGCTGAGGGTCAAACAAGATGCCAAGATTCAGGACTGGCTCAGTGAGGTGGCGTGTGCAACCATGGATGATGATGCTGTCAGCACCTGAGGTTAGGAGGCGCTGATGGGAGCCAATCAGGAGAGCCTCGGTCTTGTTGAGGTTCAACTGGAGAAAGTTAGCTTTCCACCAGGACGTATGTCAGATAGACATGCCGTTCAGCACAGCAGGGGTCCTGGAGTCGAGGGTTGAGGCAGAGAGGTAGAGTTGGCCAAAAGGGAGTTGACCCCATCTCTGTGATGTCTTCTCTTTGACCGTGCCTTCAGCTCCCCTCTTGACTTTCTACCCCCTCCTCGCTCCTTCCCTTCCTCCCCTCACCCTGACCATTTCCCCCCTGCTCAGGTCCTGACCCAACTGTACAGCACCTTGGGATGTCCTCCCGACGTGAAAGGCGCTCAATAAATGGAATCTTGTTGTCGTTGTCACCAAGAGGGAGCATATAGATATTGAAGAGGGGACCACGGACAGAGCCCTGAGGAACGCCACACGAGGCTGTGCGGGGGCTGGAGGAGAAACCAGGGGCAAGAGGGAAGGTGACCGTAAGCACGATCAAAAAGCAAGGTCTTTAGGCAGATTTGAAGGTGGGGAGGGAAGGGCAAGGCGAATACTGGAAAAAACTCCCTTCTCTTTTCAAAGGTCCTTTGCAGGATAAGCAGAGAAGACCTTGATTTTGCATCTCATCTGAAGGAATGACTTTAAGACCACAAACATAAAGTCCCAGGTGCACGATTTGAACTCACAACATTCTGATCCAGTGGCAAATGCTGCCAACTGATCCAGGCTGACAACGTCCAAGTAGCTGGTCCTAAACCATCAAAACATCCACAGCCCAGAATCTATCCAGCGGGTATATAGGCATTGGCTGGTATTCAGATTGTTAGCTGGGGCTAGTCAGGACTTGAAAGCTTTGATTCAAGTGCGCCATCACCCAATTGAACTAACTGGGCTCACAATGGCTTAATAAAGTTTAAGGAGAGGCAGACGTTCAACCATGAGGGCAAGTTTCTGAAGCAGGTTTTATTATACATTATACAAAATACAAAAGAGGTACTATCAGTACAAAGAAAACAGTTCTAACAAAGTGCCTTTGTAAGGAAGCACAGACATAACAAAAAAAAAACACGTTAAAAATTAACTGGGAAGAAAATCCTATTGTATCTTAAGATCATGCTCCTGCAGGTGCTAGCACGGGTGATTTGTAGACCGCTAGCCTGATGTCCAATGGCTTCCATCGATCAAAGAGTATTGTCCATAAGTCAGAGAGTATCATTATCTAGCAAATCAGCATTACAAAGTTGGGAGAGATCTTAGTCGATTAGAACCCATGGACCTTCAGTTGCTCTTCCTTAACAATGCCAACCTGCAAATAAAATGATACCAGTTAATCCACGAACGAGGGATAAACCAATTCAAAGGCCAAGGCGTATGGGGAGGGGTTACCTTTGGAGGCGCTCCCTGGGTATGGGAGGAGGGGGGTTAAAATCGCTCCCTGGATGTGGAAACCGGTTGGCCTATACAATGGGAGAGAGAAACTTCCTTCTCTTTTCAAAGAGTGATATCGGATCTTAACACCCACCTGAACAACAACTCACATTTGTATTGTGCTTCACATCAGGAGGACGTCCCAAGGCGCTGGAGTCAGGGATCCGCACCTGAGCTAGTGGTTGGGATCAGGTAGGGTGAAGGGCGGGGAGGGTAGGGGTAGGAGCGTGACTGAAGGCGCGGTCGAAGAGCAGGTGGATGCAATAAATCAACTTGTTTGAACAAGAACCCTCACAAATCTTTAGACAGAGGGAAACTCGGTTCTGCTACATACCTCCACCAGGAAGGTGTAGATGTTCTTGCGCTGGTCTCCCTGCAGCTGGATCACCTCGCCGTATTCAGGGTGTTCGATCACAGTACCATTGCAGGCGAATTTCTGGTGGGGGGGGGGGGTAAAAAATACAGCAGCTTAAACCAGGGTAGGTCATTTTACTCACTCACCGCTTGACAGGGAGAACTTTCTAAAACTAGGAATCAGATCTGGCCCTCGCAGAATTACTGCCCAATAACACTAGAAAGTGGGCCCTGAACTATCCGACCTAACTACCACAACCCTACACCTCAACTGCAATGAACAGTGCAATTTCAAGTTATCTAGCGTAACAAAAAGGGAATGGGGCTTTTCCACACATTTGCTGACACTGTATCTACCTCTGCATTTTCTCCCTCATTTGCAGAATAACCAACATTCACTATACAGCTCTTCGCCTCCAGGGAGAGCATCTCAAAGTGCTTTACAAAAGCTGAATGGGAGAGCCCCAGTTCAGAGGGAGATGAGGCTGAAAGCTCAGCCAGAGACTTTAGACAGGTTTTGAAAGCCGAGAGGAGGGGACGAGGGAAGAGTTCCAGAGGATAAATATTTAGTGGCTGAAAACTCACCCAGTGACAGCAGGTACAGGAAGAGGACATAAAGCAGGCAGGTGAGGAAAAGGAGCGGTTAGAGCTCAGAGGAACGCCAGACGAGTTTGTGGGAGCAGGATGAGAAGCCACACCCTGGGACAGGCAACAAAATTAGGAAAGTGCAGTGAGAGCTGCAGATGTACTGCAATCAGGTTGAAGGGACTCAAAAAGAAATGTGGGAGAGCGACCACATCACTCCCACCCTCGCTCGCCTCCACTGCTCCCCATCCCCCAGAGGATCGAATTCAAGATCCTCATCCTCACCTACAAGGCCATTCACGGCCTCGCTCCCTCTTACCTCTCCGACCTACTATCCCCCTACTTACCCGCCCATACCCTCCGTTCCTCTGGCTCCGGTTTGCTCCACATCCCCCGCCCCAACCGCCCTACCATCGGTGGCCTTCAGCCGCTCAGCCCCGAGGCTCTGGACTCCATCCCCAGTGCCTTCGCCGCTCCTCCTTTCTTCCTTCAAGGCCGGTCTCAAGACCTTTCTCTTTGACTGTGCCTTCACCTCCCTCTCTCCCCCTCCTCGCTCCTTCCCCTCACCCTGACCATTTCCCCCCTTGCTCGGGTCCTGACCCAACTGTCCAGCGCCTTGGGACGTCCTCCTGACGTGAAAGGCGCTCTGTAAATGAAATTTTGTTGTTGTTGTTGAGAGAACGAAACAGTCAGTGACAGTTACCTTTCTCACCCATCACCTGACCTCAAGTTTTAGGTGAGCAATAACCATTCATTGCTCCCTCAGCCGTAACCAGCCAGGGAGTAATCCTAATACGTGCGTGGCCTTCAGCTGGTCTTCACATCCAGTCCACCTTATCCCACCTCTGGACCAATGCCTGCCTACTTTACCTCCACTGCTGATTCATCCCCGTTACAACCAATTCTCGTTGTCAGCCCCTCTCGCTCCACAAGTTCAAACACTGAGTGTATATTCATTCGTTCCTGCATAACCCAACCTCATCCAGTCCTGATTGTGAACATTCAATTGGTGGCAGTAAATATGAAGCCTCCAATTTAATTCAAGAACAACTCGCATTTATATAGCGCCCTTCACCTGGGGACCGAGCACTGAATTGTGGCGGCAGAGTCTGACGAGCATGAAGCACCCACCTTTTTGAAAGCTTTGACTAGTTTCTTTTTGTCATAGTCGTTGGCAATTCCCTGGACTGTAGTCAGAGTCTTCCTGCCGTTTCTCTGCTGAATTCTTATGTGTATGTAATCCTCTGTCCCAGAAGGGAGGAGTACGTCACCCTTAGTTGCATCAGCATAGGGGTCTGAAACATCAACATAGGTATCTGTAGTCAACCAGTGGTTGATCTCAAAACAAACACGTTCCAGAAACCATTGTTGTATTGTGCGGATCGCTGATACTCAGCAAGAGCCTTCTAGGAATGATTTACATAAAATCAAGTGATACCAGGATAAACACATAACCGTTGGAATCAGCTTCAATGAAACATGCGCCAAAAATACAACTTACAAAACGGATTAAGCATCTAAACGGAATTGCGAAAGCTCCAAGGAGCTTACATTTAAAATAGCTCGGGTTCTGCTGGTCAAATGGAAACACGGGAGGATTAATCGGCCTCTGAAAAGGTACGGCCAATATGACCTTCACCATAATAACCATCCAGATTTCGCGCAAATCCCTTTATTTAGCCAGCCGGTTCATGTTGACACAAGGCCTACCTACCACTCACGGTCTGGAAACAAACCGAGATGTTGTTTGACTGCCAAGCCCCTGTGGTGGGAGAGTCCGGACTTGACGTCATTCGCACAAGATGAGCAATAATATTTGTGGATAAATGTGTGTACCATTTTTATCCGGTTCTCGAGTGCAAAGGAAACCAGTTCTGCTAGAAAATACCAACCTACATCAGTCAAGTCATCCATTGTACAGATAGAGAGGTGAAACCCTACTCTAGATTGTGCAACCAGTTTGCAAGTGAGAGACCTGAGTTCAATTCCAGGCAGAGGGCGAAACCTCGGGCAAGTTTCCTTACTCCACACAGAGCCTAATAATAATCCCTCCAAAACCAAACATAAACCAATTTCAATAACTGTTCATTTTCAATACAGTCAATTCACTTTACAATATATTCTGTGAAGCGCTTTGGGAAGTCTAGAAGACGTGAAAAGTGCTATATCAAATGCAAGGATTATTATTATTATTAATACTAATAATAATCCTTGCATTTGATATAGCGCTTTTCACGTCGGAGGACGTCCCAAAGCGCTTCACAGAACACACTATGTCCCAAAAGTCCATTGAAAATGCCCAATTTATTATTGTTTTGTTTTGGAGGGTTATTATTAGGCTCTGTGTGGAGTAAGGAAACTTGCCCGAGGTTTCGCCCTCTGCCTGGAATTGAACTCAGGTCTCTCACTTGCAAAGCGAGTGCTCTAACCCCTGAGCTACAGGACAATAATAACAACAATAATAATGTTAATAATAATTCTTGCATTTGATATAACGCATTATCAACAACAACAACTTGTTGTAACACACTATCACACGTCTAAAAAGCGCTTCACAGAATATACCGTGAAGTGTAGTGTATTTTGTTAAACAAATTAACAGGTTTTTGCCCACAAAAACATGCAGTCAATTCGCTCCACAGTATATCCCTGTGAAGCGTTGTGAGGCGTCTCGAAGAGGTGATGAGGCGCTGTGTCAAATGCAAGGATTATTATCATTATTATTATTATTATTGCAGTAGTTATTTGCATTTTCACGCGTTTTGCTCGTTTCACCGCTTTGCGAAGACGGAGGGACCTCGGGCCACACTGGAGGGCAGCACAGATGCAGAGGCCGGAGGAGGGGGGAGGGGAAAGGAGGGGGAGGGGAGGAGGGGGAGAGAAGGGGGGGGGGAGAGAAGGGGGAGGGGGGGAGGAGGGGGAAGGGGGGGAAAGAAGGGGGAGAAGGGAGGGGAGGGGAGGGAGGAGGGGGAGAGAAGGGGGAGAAGGAGGGGAGGGGGAGGAGGGGAGGGGGAGGAGGGGGGAGGGAGGGAGGGGAGAGAAGGGGGGAGAAGGGAGGGGAGGGGAGGGGAGGAGGGGGGGAGAAGGGATGAGGGGGGATCACCCAAGCCTCCAGGCCCCGCCCCGTCCCCATCCAGCCGTGAGTGACAGCCAGCTGCACCAATCACAGAGCGCAGGCCCTTCACCGCTCATCCAATGGGCGATTCCCAAACAGAGGAGAAGGACCGCCCCCTCTCTCCCCCCCACCGCCAAAACCACCGCCACAGGGGGAACGTCTCCTGATCCGGAGGGGCGGCGTCTCCCCGGCGGGACAGGAGGAGTGGGAGGAGTCCCAGGCAGGGCCCGGCGGGGGGGGGGGAGGGGGGTTGTGACTTACCAGTCAGTCTCAGCTTAGTTGACATACGATGACCAGTTGCTCTGCCGCTGCCGCCGAGAAAAATAAGAGAGAGAGATACTGAAGAGAATAAAAATGGACGCGACGCGGTCGGGACGGGATGAATGGCGGCCGGAGAGGCGCCGCCCGTCTCTTATATACCCACCCGCCTGCCCGCGCCCCTCGCGTCACAGCGCGCTGACGTCACCGACGCGTGACGCACGTTTGTTACGGCAGGTGGCCGGCGGCGGCGGCGGTGGGCGGGGCCGCTTATGCAAAGCAGATGCAAATCCGACCCCACAGCCCAGAGGAGGAACAGCAACAACAACAACAACAACAATCAATCAATCAATCAATCAATCAATCAATCAATCAATCAATCAATCAATCAATCAATCAATAATGATGATAATCATCATCATCATTGTGTTTGATACAGAGCCTTATCACGTCGTCGCGACGCCTCAGAGCGCTTCGCGGAATAGACTGTCGAGTACATTTCGTGGGCGAAACGCAGCAGCCAATTAATTGCACAACAACAACAACAACAACAACAACAAGATTACACGTGTGTAGCGCCTTTCACGTCGGGAGGACGTCCCAAGGCGCTGGACAGTGGGGCAGCATTTCAGACCCGAGTTGGGGTCGGGGCGGTAGGGGAAGGAGGGAGGGGAGGGGAGAGGAAGGGAGGTGGCCGAGGGCACGGTCAAAGAGGAGGGTCTTGAGGCGGGACTTGAAGGAGGCTAAGGAGGGGCGAGGCGGAGGGATTTGATTCGGGTCAGCGTGCGGGCGGCAGAATTTCGAATGAGCTGCATCTGGTGAATGGTGAAGCTGGGGAGATCGGCGAGGAGTGCATTGAAGTAACCCAAGAGGGAGGTGACAAACACATGCACAAGAGTTTGGGCTGTATTTAAATAGCGCCTTTCACGTTGGGTGGACCTCCCAAGGCGCAGGACTGTCGAGGGTTTGAACCCGAGCTGGGGGGAAGAGGTTGAGATAACGGAGGGTGGAGGGTAGGGTGAAGGCTCAGTTGAAGAGAAGGGTTTCGAGATGCACCTTGAAAGAAGCAAGGGACGGAGCGAGGCAAGGGAACTGTGGGATGGAGTTCCAAAGGGTGCGGGCAGAGATGCTGAAGGCCCGACTGCCAATGGTGGAGCGGGCCGGGCAGGGGACGTGGAGCAGGCCAGAACTCACTGAGCAGATGGAAGGGCAAGGCCGCGGAGGGCCTTGAAGGTGAGGTGGAGGATTTTGAACTTTATCCTCTGTAAGATGGGAAGCCAGTGGAGTCGGGCAGAGTGGGATGATGGGGTCACGGAGCCTGGTGCGGGAGAGGACATGGGCTGAAGAGTTCTGGATGATCTGCAGTTTGTGGAGGGTAGAGTTGGGAGCCCAACAAGCAGCGAGTTGGCATAGTCGAGCCTAGATGTGATGTGTCTTTATATTCCACTTCAAATCCTACCTCTTCAAATACACCTACAGCTGCCCACCTCCCCACTGCCTCCCCACCAACCCCCTTGGCTTGGCGACCAATCTGTTCTCCTTTAAAGCGCTCTGAGACATGACTCTCCATCAGCAATGTCCAAACCAGCCCCCACCCCGAACATTCACACAAGTCTCGGCAAGACTGTGTTCGGTTGTCATTGCGTTT